AAGCGTCATCGAGTCCCTGAGCTCTCGACCCCATCCCAACACCCAGCTCGACCCCATCTCGGAGTCCAGGAGCCAGGAGACCGCCAGGTGTGCGCCCGGCGGGGGCCCCCTCGTCCTCCGCCTCCACCTCCACGTCGCCCCGCGCGTCCTCGAACACCTCCTGCGGCTCCGGCTCCACCACCCCCTCCTCCAGGACCCACTCCAGCACCTCCTCGCCCACCAGGGGGCGGCATCCGGCGGCGGCGGCAGCGGCGGCCGCGTCGGCCGAGGTGGCGCCAGCCGCGGCCATCGTGGCGCCGGCCGCGAGGGCAGCGGCCTGCGCCAGCGTGGCCGCAGCCGTCCAGAGAGCCGCGCGAACCGCGACCGCGGCGGCATCGGCGCAGGCGGCAGCCGCAGCCGCCGCGTCCACCGCGAGGCCGACCGCGCCGGCGGGCGAGGCGGCCCTCGAGGCGGAGGCGGCAGCAGGGGGCGGCGCAGCACCAGGCGCGGCGCCGCCTCGGCCGCGGGCCGCGGCAGAACCGCCGCACTCGCCGCGGAGCCAGGAAAGGCCTGGCGGCGGCAAGGCGGCGGCAGCCGCGCGCGCGGCAGCGGCGCGCCGAAGGCGGCGGCGCCGGCGCGTGGCGGCGGAGCCGGCAGGCGCGGCGCCCAGAACCCCTGGCATGGCAAGCCGCGGCACGGTTGCGGCGGACCCAGGTCGCGCCGACCAACCTTGAGCCAGAGGGGCTTGAGCCAGGGGGGCTTGAGCCAGAGGGGGCTACGGACTGGTGGGGATACGCGAAACGTCTAGAATTTTCTAAGCCTTCCCCAGAGACAGAAACAACTTCAGAAGGAAAAAGGGCTTCTGGGAAGTCCCGCCGCCTTCTGAGAAGGCCTTCTCCTTCTCAATTCCCCCCTTCGCTCGCCGCCGACAAGAGGCACGTTGGAACGGCCCAGGAAGCCGACGAGAGGCCTCCAGGATAGCCAAGAGGCCTCCAGGAGACTCCTATCATCACTGCTGTCTACTCCCCGCGCCACGCTCCCAGCGCGGCGTGTACCACTCTCACAGCGCGGCGCGCGGTCGACCAGCAGCGGCGCCCCGAGTGCAACGAGCGCGTCGGGTGGACCAATTTCTCAAAACGACCCTGCTGTGATGGTTGGGGCGACCATGGGACGCAAGGGTGTGGCGGCTGCCTCGCATGCAATGCAGATCTCTGCGCAAAGTGCGGCCGACCCTGCGACCCGGTCAACGGACCGCCCCAAGGCCCCGCCGACAACCTACTTGACGGCGTGCAGGTCGTAAGGCACCAACGATACCCACATACTTCTGTTCGGAACGGCGGGTCGTAATGCCGCGTAGTTGCTGCGTTGCCAATTGAGGACGTCTTGAGGCCTCTTGGACTCTTCGTTGGTTTCTTGTGGGTCTCGTTTGGGCCATCTCGCGGTCCACTCGAGAGATTCATGGGGCCTCGTGGAGGCTTGCTGGGGGTCTCGGGGCGGCCTTTGGCGCGATTACTCTCTCCCGCAGAGGCTGGCGCGCGGCAGCGGAGGGAAAGTGGGACAGGGAGAGAGAGAGAGAGAGAGAGAGAGAGAGAGAGAGAGAGAGAGAGAGAGAGAGAAAGAGAGAGAGAGAGAGAGAGAGAGAGAAAAAGAGAGACGGAGGCGAGAAAGTAAACGAGAGCCGCACGAGGGGCAGAGGCGGCAACCCACAATCGCACGATCCCCCAAGGGAGGGGGATCTGGGCGGCCACGGGGATCGCCTCGACGGGGCGTGCCCCAGTTGCAGTCGCACGCGTGGAGGTGCGAGCGTGGGGCAGCGCCCAGGGGCCGCTCCGCGGAGGCACCTCGACGGGTGAGGAGCCAGAGACGCCGGCGGCGCAGACTCCCGCGTGTACGGCGAGGGTCGGCGCAACAGGCAAGGTGAGGAGGCCCGAAGGCTTGGCAGAAGGCGGAGATGCGGCACGTGCGGGCAGCGTGTGCGCGTGCACGGCTGAACTTCTCGGGCGGCCACGGAGATCCAGAAGCCCAAGGGGGCGAGCGAGTGCAGTCCGGGCAAGGCGTCCCCCGATCCGTGCGTGGCTGGGGAGGGCGGAGCCCAGGACCAGTAGGGCGCCTGCCTCCCAGGCAGAGGGAGGGTGCAGGGGAATATTCAGCCTCACGGGGGAAGGGGCTCCGTAAGATAGCCAACTCGCCCGTGCGCCAGTCCGCCGGCCCGGGGACTCGGCCAGAGTCGGCAAGGGCTGTGCCTGTGGGGGGCTCCTCGGCGTCAGTGCGGGCTGGCTGCGTAGGCAGCACTGTAGGCCTGAGCGTCAACGTAATCTAACCATGGAGCCCGTCCTCACGTACAGGCGCTACCTGGGCCAGGCGCGCGAACAACGCTAGGCGTCAGTTCCCTGAGGCGCCGCATCGTGGCAAGTGGAACGTGAAGGGGAGGTGATCACTTCAGGCCGCACAATCGCAGTGTTGGGGAGAGCGTGGTGCAAGATCGCTCGTTCTTCTGGAGGGGGCCTGGACGAAGGACGGTTCACGCGTGGGTGAGGGCAATTGATGGTGGGGTTGCAGGGTGCAGATTGACGGCGGGGTGCATGGTAGAGGGGACGAACTGGTGAGGTGGAGTCCTGGGGATGCCGCGGCTGGCTGGATGGATGGTGTGTGCTCTGGGGGTACGGAAACAAATGTCCCGCTGGCCCTGGAGCGTCTCCTCCGCCGCAGCAGGACCACATGGCAGGGCGTACGGGGACGCCCAGCCAGGGGGCTGGGCGTCGCGCGCTGCGCGAGCTGCTGTGGTGGCCAGGTTAAGGACCAGCCGGCAAGGGTGGGCAGCACCGTAGGCCTGTGCGTCTCCGCGGCGCACGGGGGCTACGCAAAATGAAGCGTGAATCCGTTCGCTCCGCACATGCTGTGCCCAGGTCAGGCGCGCGAGAACCGCAGCAATACCCGGCACCAGCCCCCACATGCGCAGGTCATCAGCGGGTGGGAAAGAGAAGCGACACCTACATACACCTGACCGACAAGCCAGGACAGCCCACCACAGGGCGCGGTTTGGCAAGACCATATTCCAGGTAGTTGCGACTACTCCGACGGCCTCACAAACGGCTCCCACAGTTACCCCGGGCCACTCGCACAACCAGGTGGCTGGCCAACACCGCCACCACTATCCAAGATGAGAACGCGGCCCGACAACCCGGATGCCGAGCCCGACGCCCAGTCCGACATCACCATCGAGGCCCAGGATACCCGTACTTCAAGGTCTCGCGAGGCGCCGCGGGGCGCAGGCCCGTGTCCCTGGCCCCGCCCCTCAGGAGCGCCGCCGCGGCCAGAAGAGGGGAGGACGATCGGCGGAAGAGGCGGAGGAGACAGGCGCAAGCGAGGCTATCTGCACCCGCCCTCCCGTCGAGAGGGGTGTGGAAGCAAGAGGCCGCGGAGCTTGCCTGCCGTGAAGGCCGCCAGCAGCGGGAGGAACAGGAGGAGGAGGAGCAGGAGCAGGGATAGGAGGGGAGGGAGCCCGACCCCCTCCTCCGTGGCACCACTCCGCCCTCTTGCTTTGAGCCGCCGTCACCCGGCCGTGGCAACGCGTGGTCCCCTAGCCCGAGACAAGTAGAGCAGCCCTGGTGGGCACAGACTAGCGTAGCCGACAGCTTTGGGGGATAATCGGATAAAGCACCACATCACAACAAACACATAACATCGAGGAGGCTCTCTGTAAGAGATACATCGACATCCACGTACAAACAACACAAGTCAGCATGCCTGCTGACAATTCACCGCGACTGCCCTCCAGTGTTCCAGCCACGTGGGTCAGTTAGACGGCCGAAACATCCTCTTCCTTCCGATCCCCTAACTACCTCCAACCACTACTATTAGTACGCAACAGCAGTGGTGTGGCACAAAGTACTGAAGAGATCAATGGCTGACGCAAGATACTGGCTGGTTGTTGGTTAGCTTCAGGCAGGTTCAGTACGCAGACTGAGCAGGAAAGGAATCTACCACGGAACGGGTAGCAGAGGCCATGCGAGTAAGGCGGATTCGACACGCGGTGGAGCTGAGTACTACAAGAGACTACTCGGCAGACCACAGTGTGGCGTAACTCACCCCTGCCGATGGTCGGCTTAATACTATCATATATGTAGTGACTCCTCCCACCATCTCATCCACCCCAACCCACCCTTCCACGTCTGTTCGTGTTGTCTGCAGGCTGGCACAAGTGAGTGGCTGGCCTACGAGTGATGGTGGCGCAGGTCCAAATATGCAGGGTTGCTGGTCTGAGGTGGGGAATGCGTGTGCCTTGACAAGGCGCATGCCTGATAAGCTATCTGATGTTGGCCAAACGGGTAAGGCCTTCTCATTGTTAGGCTGATCCTGTCGGTGCATGTCGGCCTGAGGTGAAAGTGTCGCACAGAAAGCTCGTGATCCTCCGCCCCACCTCCACCGTATAGATGACACCCCAACCCACCCCAAATGGAAAGCTGCATGGATTTGCTGGCATTGGGCAAGGCGCTAGTATTACTAGGCTGGCTCTGCAAGCGCAGGCTGACCTAATGCTTTAAATGTAGAAGATAAGATCAGTCGCACACCAAACGTGTATCGTATTAAAGGGTATGTTGAAAGCAGGTTGGTACAGATAAGCTGGTGTAGGCGTGTTCAGTATTCGCTCAATCCCTAGGAGACATGGAGAGTACCCTAGGTAGCCTGGGGCATGTAAACTTGTGTATTGAGAGCTGGCTGCGGGCATGCCACTTCGCATCGTACTGCCTCCTCCTCCTCTTCCTCCTCCTCCTTCTCCTCCCTCCATCCCTGCCCCTCTGGTGCTGAGAGGACCGGGTCCTGGGTCCTGGCCCCCTTCCCCTGGGATCAACTTTTCATTCCGAGCCGTCTCTTGACGGTCTCCCAGGGCCTGCGAGGCGCTCTGGGAGGCCGATCATGGCTAAACACCTCATGACACCTTTCGTTCAGGACCGCCTTTCTTCATGGCGATGAGTGCAGGAGGACTGGAGCACAGCTCAAGCTTGGACCGAGACAACAGCCACCTGAGAAGATGCCCATGCTGGCCCTCGGGCAACACATCCTCGGCAGCCGCCAGGCTGGCCCCGCGCTCACAAGCGCCCCGTGCATTCGCAGGGGGCGTTCAGAAAACCGGGCCAGCTTCTCGGAAGCTCCCGCGGCGACTAGGCCAAGACTCGGGTCAAACTAAAGGGGGTGGAGGTGGCAAAGGTGGAGCTAGAGAATCGGCTCACGTAGCTGGTTTCCCCATCGCCTGCCGGCGCTGGAGGCGCCAAGGTGTCAAGGAATGCGCTTGGCGGTGGGGCCGAAACCAGCTTCATGCAGCAGATTTCGTACCCGAAAAACGAAAGAGGGGAGATCTCCTAACGACCCGCGCCCGCCCCGAACCTCTGGCGCCGTGCTGGCTTCCGCGGCGTGGCCCCCCCCCGAGAGCTCTCGACATCATCCACGGGACTGGACAAGAGCGCACGTAAGCAGAGTGCTCCTTCCCAGCCCTGCTGTGGAGCTGGGCCCTCGTCTTCTCTCCGCTGCGCCGCGCGCCCGCCTCCTCCCTCCAGCCTCCCCCCTGTCTGTTTCCCCTTCCTGCCGCAACTGCTGCGCCGCCTGCTGGCGTGCCGTTAGAACGGGGGGGGGGGGGAACGACCGCTTGGCGCCAACCCGCGCAAGGTCGGCATAATCCTCACACCCTCCAGCCCCTCTCCATCCTTCCTTCTCTTTCCCTCTTGGCGCCCTTTCGGCCTCCACTTTGTTCCTTTCCTCTTGGCGTCCCAGTGTCCCCCCCCGCTCTTGCCCTCGGTCTCCTTCTGGCCTTTCGAGATGCGGGTGCCGTCGCCTTCCCTCCGCAGTTCTCGTGATGCCCTCCCCCTGGCGGTCCGCAGTGCACAACGAGGGGGCCCCTCCCCCGCGCTGCACGTCAATGGTCCAGGGCTGGGTGGCTGCTGGGATGATTTCCTCACGACGCCTGGAGGTTCGGGGCTGTATGAGGACCGAGGTTGCCATGGGGGAGGGGGGCCCCGAGGGCGAGCGGGGGAGGCGGGCCCTGGACCCCGAGGCCTTCCCCAGGACCTGCCCTCCACCCCAGCGTCACATCTTGGACGTGCCCAGGGCGTGGGAAAAGGGGCTCAGGAGGACGACAAAACGCGAGAAACCTCGGGACTCCCTGTCCTCGGGCCTCCCCGTCATGGTGATCGGCTGCACGCAGGAATGACCCTGGGCAAGAGGGACCTCCTGTCCTGTGCGCGGCTTTAGGGGACCGCGGGGGGGGAGGAAATCCGAGCGCGCGAGCCAGTGCTGGGGACACACCCCTGTGGGCCCAAACCAAAAGTCTCTCTGGCGAAAAGTCACTCTTACGCGAACTTAGCCGAGGTGAGGAGGCGGGCCGAGCCCCTGAACAACGGGAGGGCCGCGGGGCGCCCTCAGACGCCGACGCCGTATGCCTGCACCACGCAGACGAGCGCCTTGTTCTCCCAGCGGTAGCTACGGGGAGGGGGGAGGGCAGAGGAGGGAAGTAGGCGGCGGGTGAGGACTGCGGGCAAGAGGGGGAGGGGGAGAGGAGGAGGAGGGGGAGGAGGAGGAGAGGGCGGATGGATGGGGAAGGGTTGGAGGAGGCGGGGAGAAGGGGTCCCCGTCCTCATCTCCCTCCCTCCTCCTCCGCTTCTCACCCTCCCCCCCCTTCTCTCTCTGTCCTCCTGGAGGCGGGCGCCTGAGGGCACCGTCCGTTTCCGCGTCCCAGAAGACCGCGGAGCTCGTGTGGAGGCCCGCGCCCTTCTTCTCCATCACGCTGATGTTGACGATGCTGGGGCCGAGAAGCCCAGGCAGCGAAGCGCCCCACTCTTGCTTCTTTTAACATTAGAGAGGAGGAGGAGGAGGAGGAGGAGGAGGAGGAGGAGGAGGAGGAGGAGGAGGAGGAGGAGGAGGAGGAGGAGGAAGAGGAGGAGGAGGAGGAGGAGGAGGAGGAGGAGGAGGAGGAGGCGGAGGAAGAGGAGCTTTCCGCTGGAAGCTCACCCGCCACGTCGACCTCGACTGGGAGTACATCCGCGACCCGATGTACAAGGACTACTACGAGGGCTACGGCGACTACAAGCTGCCCGGCGTTCACTACAGCAAACCCACGATCATGTACGACCAGAACCCGCTGCCTGTGGAGGATGCCGACAAGAAGAACGACGACCATACTCCGCGCTCGGCCAAGCGCGCGGCCCTACCCCTGCCTGAGCCGCCGCGCAAGCAGCGCAGATACCAGTAACTCTTTGGAACAGATGTCATACTACGACGTGCCGTGCCGCTTTCATGCTACCATGAGCAGGTCAACCATTACATAACAAACTGTGGAGTGTCTCTCCTTGCCCTACCTACCACCACCCCTACCTGACAAGTGGTCTCGACATAGTCTGGTGGTACGATGTCCTTTTCACCAACCGTGCTGATACATATTATTGGCAATACACCCAATACCTCCAACGCTCCGCTATCCTGTGTACCTCACTGTGGCAATTACACTACGGCGGCGGTCATACTAATTACGTGCTGTGCCACTCCAGCTACCATGAGCCAGCTACACATCGCACAGCAAATTGGGGCTGCCCCTCCTGGTTTTACCTACTTCCATCCCTGCGTGGCACGAGGTCTCGACAAAATCAGGTGGTACGCCTCTCACTTCAACAACTATGCGATCCATATTGGCAACACACCCAATGCCACCAACGCTATCTGCTATGCTGTGTACTCCATGCTGGCGGCAGGTACAGTACGAAGATCAGAAGCCTGTGTACTCTTTACTTCGTGTGTAGCGTACGGCTCAAGCGTCAGCTTACACAGGTGCTGCCGTCAGCATCTACATGTGGTGCCACGCCAACTACAATCCGAAGCACGAGACTACTGGTCCCGACGAGACCATTACCGCTTACGCAGAGGGACCGCACGGACAGAACAGCGTCTGTTTCCAGGACTTCTACCCGTTTCCGTCTACTCTTTCGGACGGGACTACGTCCAATTGCTGGACTCAACTACTCGCCAAGATGTCGCAGAACCAGAACGGGGCCTACGGCTTCTACGTCTCCGACATCCAGGCTGCCTTCCAGCACTTCTACAAGTACGCCGAATCCAGATACGTACAAGGTTTCAAAGCTATGTGTGTGTTTCCAGAAGGCTCCTACATACCCGTACCAGATGATCGTGAAGGAACTGGGACCACATTGGCAAACCCCTATGCCCCTGCAGCGCAAGTACTGGCTTACGCGCTCCAGCTATTTGATGATCAAGACCGAGGAATACACGGACACGACGATCTTCCAGGCACCCCACCGTGGACAAGACGTTCATGCCGCAGTTACCAACGTACCCTACACCTAATGTCGGCGACCTGAAGAAGGCTACGTCCCCACTTATGCATGGTCCTGTCTTTCAGCATTATCCCACGGAGATGTTTACCAAGCTGGAGCCCTACGACCTCTTTCACCAGAACATCATCTTCAAGAACAACGAGAACCTCGTCTACATCCCGACCAAGAACGGTGGAGCCCGCTACTTCGGCCATTTCATCAACCAGTACAGCGACTTCCAGGAACCCCCCGCCTGTGAAGATCTACGAGGACTCTCCGTTCCCAGCCACACAGGGTATGAAGCGCCAGCGTATTGATGGACTCCAAGAAGAAGCTGTACACAGTACTGCGATGCAGTCCAGTTCTCATACTCCATGTTCTCCATCTACCTTCACAAGGCGTTCCACTAGGTCCTCTGAGGATTACCTAGTTACATCCAGGGGGGGGAGTGACCTACGACGTCAACGGCTGCACTCCTCCCCCCTGAAGGCCACGGCGACCCCATCTCTCCCCGTTTTCCCCCACGCGACGACGACCTTCCTCCCCCCCGCCCCCCCTTTCTTCGTCGGCCGCTTTTGCAATATCCCATCGGGGTACAGTGGTGGAGGCGGACGTGGATTCCCCCACGTGAGCCGCGCCACGCTCCCAGGCTACCTTAGGCGCTGGGAGCGGCTGCGCGCGGCGCGGACGAGGACGCGGCAGCGACCGCTTGCGGCGCCGGCGGCAGGAGGAGGAGCAGGAGGAGGAGGAGGAAGGGGAGGAGGAGGAGGAGGAGGGGGAGGAGGAGCATGAGGAGGAGGAGGAGAAAGAGGAGGAGGAGAAGGAGGAGGAGGAGGAGGAGGAGGAAGACCAGTGTAAAGCCAAGATTCATCAACGATGTTGAAAGACACCTTCCCTCGAAGATCCCTCTTTGCAGGCCCCTACAAGGGGTCATTTCCACTGGGGAATTGCCCCGTTGGGGGACAAAAGTGTGAACATCGTGAAGCGTGCCAGAACACCATTCGCAAGACTTCAACGCCACCAATTAACCTGACTGTTACCCTTTGGCGATCCTGACTCGTGCCAGAACACCGTTCCTGGGACTTCAACACCGCAAATCAACGTAACTGTTGCGCACCCTGCGTCGGTTCAGAACGCAATTTCTGGTACGTTAACCTTCAGAAGCAGTGGAACTCTTGCACACGTTTCAAACGGATGTGCGCAACGCCGATGCGAGAACCACATGTTGAAAATGAATCGCCCTCACTCCGTGAAGCTCTTACACTTTCTTAGAATGAATGTGTGCGGCGCTAACGCGAAAACCACTTTTTGAAAACCATCCACCCTCAATCCGTGAAGCTTCTGCAAATGTTGAAAATGAATGTGCGAGGCGCTAACGCGATAATCACATTTCGAAACCGAACTTGGCTTAACCAATGGCACTCTTGCGCGTGTATCAAACGAACGTGCGCGGCGCTAAGGCGAGAACCATCCGTGCAGTTTTGCATTTGTTTACAAGAGTTGCGCGCGGCGCTGGAGCGAGAACCACATTTTGAAAACTATCCGCCCTCAATCCGTGAAGCTTTAGAACATGTTTAAAACGAATGTGCGCGGCGCTGAAGCGAGATCTACACTTTGGAAACGACCCGCCTTCCATCTGTGAGCCTGTGGCAAACTTTCAGTATCAGAATTATAAACGGTGAGGAAGGCTCGGGCGAAACGCCCGGCCCGCCCTTCCGACCGGCCTCGGGGTGCGACAGGGAGGAGTTATCTTTTAGGAAAAGGAATGGCGGAGGAGGAGAAGGAGGAGGAGGAGGACGAGGCGGAGGATGAGGAGGCAGAGGGAGAGGAAGAGGAGGAGGTTGTTGGGGACGGGCCTAAAGCCAGAGCACCTCCTCGTTCAGCCAAAATCGGAGGCCTCCGAGTCTGACTCGAAACCGCAGTCCGAGGCTCGGAGGGAGGCGGCCCCTAGGTCCTTGACCCAGGATAAATCCGACTCGGACAGGCCGAACGAATCCAACACCTGCTCTCGCGGGGCGAAGCCCTCCGCGGAGCCGACATTCACAGGACCTGAAACTCCCTGGGGGGCCTGGCCATCCTCTACCAGCGACTGAGCCAAGACCCTCTGCTCGGCGAGGCTCAGGCTCTCATGAGCCCCCAGAGTCAAATTCTTCAGGTCCTTCTTATACGAGGGAAACTTGCCCTGCCGAATCCTTCTCAGCTGGTCATTAATTCCACCCGTCGTGAGTTTGGGCCTGCACAGGCCTTTAGCTCCAGCATTGGGAGCCCCAGAGAAAAACGATCCGCACCGACAACAAAATTGGATCCTACCCCTGGGGTTTCCAGGAGGTTCAATGACAGGGCTGGCCAAAAAAGCATGGCCGTTGGCCCGAAACACTTGCCGAGAGAATGAACGCCACTCCTCCCCCAAGTCCGAAGAACCTCCCCCCTCCCTTTGATCGTCGCCCAGGGCCTGGCCGAGGGCCTCAACCTCTTGTGAGTGCTGCCCCTGGCCATCGCTGCCTGTCGACCTGGGCACTAGGCCTGTAGTGTCACGGGGCCCGTTGGACATCAGAACCTCCACCGATCCAGCCCACCTGCAGGCCTCGCGGGCGAGGCACCTGAGGCCTCTGTACAGGCTGGCCTCTTCGTCGCTGACCCCGTGACACTCGGCTCCTAGTTTGGCAAACTTATCTGCGAGCCCATTGGCCCGTCTTTCCCAAACACTGCTCCTGCCCGCCTCGACATCGGCCGCCGTGGCGTGGCCGAGCGTCTTGAAGCACTCGAAATCGCTGAGAGTGAACGAGCCCCACACGGGGCCCCAAAGATGACCACGGGGGGCCCCAGGGCCCTCCGCGACCCCAGGGCCCCGAGACAGCGAATCCAGAGTGCTCAGGCAGTCTATATAGCATTGAAACGGGGGAAGACCAACTTGCGTAAGCATATATACAGCATAGTCTTCCCCATCTTTGCTAGTTTGCTGCGGGGCCGCACTCAGAGGAACTGGACCATAGGCCGCCGAGAGCAACTCCCCAAACCTGTCGACCGATACGATACTCCAACCAGCCCGAGTGAGTCCATCGAGGCCCATGTACCTGGCCGACCCGTCCAGGAATAACAACCCCGTCAAACGCCCCGTCTCGGGCCTCTCGTGCCAGTGAACTGTTTGCGTGGGCTCCTCGACGTCGAAGAGCGAGCGAGGGTGAGGAAAGATGCGCCTCGCGAACCTCTCCGCCATGAGCGGCCCGAACTGCTTCACTCTCTGCGCACACCTACACAAGTGAGCACTCGCATGGTCTCGCCGCCATGCTTCGTGCGCAGGGCACTCGTACTGACGGTGCCACAAAGTACCTGGGGCCCCCTTGCACACCTGACAAAGATCATCATCGTGGAGGTTGTGAGCATGAAGTCGGGCTTGGGGCCAGTGAACTCCCGAGACCAAACCTCTTAAACATCTCTGATGGTGCTTCCCCCAGGTTTCGGACTTCTCCTTGAACATCCTGGAAATGCCATCCCAGAAGATAGGGTACACAGGTGGCCCATCAAGGCCATTCTGCAAGAGAAGGGCATGCCTATCTGACGCTCGCACAGCACCTTGCCTGATCATAGACCTGACCTGCATCGGGGAGAGCCTGAGCAAGTCATGCACAACGTTCAAGTCATCTTTGATGGTGTGCTGGTCTACAAAGTCCCAGCCTATGCCCCGCAACGTTAAAAGCGCGACGTCGCTGGGGGAAGACGCTGACCTCCAGGGCTGAGCTGAATTCTGAAACTTGGCGATCGAGACCCTCATGGTATTGGCCAACACCTGAACGTGAGGGACAGCTTCCCAAACTGCAGTCGCCCACATGAAAAGCACGTGCCCCACGTAAACCACCAGAGGGTCAACCTTGACCCCAAGCCCGTACGTGTACATCCTGAGCCCAACCGAAGCACCTTTAGGGAGCCTGCCTAGGGAACTAGCAGCCCCGATACGGAGCCCAGCCATTTTTGTGGGGGCCACCCCAGAGACCGATGATCCCCATAGGGCCGATGCCACTGGCCCCATCCTGTGAACCATCCCGATGTCGGCTCCAGCTCCTTGCAGTATCTTGAGCCTCCTGGCCCTGCGCGACGCACCTGCAAACCTTGAGTTCTGAATGCCGATCCTGCGGAGGCCTCCCAAGGTAGCGTTGGTCCCAAGATTCCTCGCCGTGTCGGTGCGGCAAGAGGTGGGGAGGGACCAGGCCTTGGACAGGAAGAGGAGGAGGAGGAGGAGGAGGAAGAGGGAGCGGAAGTTGAAGAGGAGGACGAGGAGGAGGAGGAGGAGGTGCGCACATAGCTAGCGCAGAGAGAGTTCAGTTAAGCTCCAACCGAGACTTCAAGCTCAGGTGGAACTCGAGATCATTGCGCCGAGAGGGCGAGGCATCAAGCTTAGACTTAAATCTATGGTACAAGTGAAAAGCGATGACGTTGAGACGATGGGAAACGTCGAGAGAGACCACGCCGTCATATTCAGATTGAGACCCTAGGCCCAAACGAACGATGGGGCAGGAGGGCAGAGGTGAACCAGGCGAAGACAGGAGAGGTACCGGGCTAGGGTGTCAACCACACCCTCACAACTTAGCAGGCAAGGGCGACGAAGAAGAACAGGCATCCTCGCAGACGTGACCCATGCCCCCGCGGGCGATTTAAGATGGGCCCAGGCCCAGGAGGGTCTACCGGAGCACAACATGGCCTTCAGCGAGGCCCGTCGCGCAACCATCTCAGGGGCCGCCGGGAGCAGGACCCCAGGAAACCAGGAGGCGAGGCGTCGGAGGAAGAGGAGGTGAAGGTGGTCAGGTAACAATGTAGAGTGAGGGCTGGAGAGAAGGCTCGCCGCGGCTTTGGGCGCCTGTCGTCTGCCCCGCGCATCGCGTAGCTCATCAGAGGCTGCCGCAGCTGCCTGAACCAAAAGGGCCACGAACGAGCACCTGAGACGGGGTGCCGTCTAGCACTGACACGAGATACTGAGCGATGGAGCAAGAGATGGCCCAACGCGGCGGCGACCGCAAGCGACGAGCGTGTCTCGCGAGAGGCCCATGCTGGCAAGCCCACTCATCCAAGCGCCGCTCGAGCTCCCGAACTCCAGGAAAATGCAAGAAGCAAATCTCCACGCAGCCGAACGACATGTGACAACCTCAGCAACAGGCGCCGATCCAGGGACCCAAGATCTCCGACTCAGGAGCTCCGAACGCTTGTTGGGGGCAAACGCAGCAGGATATGGAGCAGCCGCGGCTCTTTCTGGAGGAGGAGGGGAGGAGGACGGACGAACCGTGCGAGGTATGGGAGAACGGTAATGGAGGAGGAATCATAGGTACGAGTCGCGGCTTCCATGGGGGCTCAAGAGGCAGCCAGGAGCCGAACTCGGAGCGTAAGCTTCAATGTGCGGGTCTCCCATTGGGCCTCCAAGGAGGCCTCTGGACCGAAAAGCATCCCAAACTATTTCGTTGAACCACGGATCGTGAAGGCCTTTAAGGACGACGCGACAGAGCGCAGACAGGCTCGGATGCGCTCCATGGTCCCGGAAGGGTTCTGCACGGCAGCACCGCGCATTTCCTGGCCTGCTGAAACATCGAGGCAAGGGTGCGGGAAACATGCCATACGGTGTCAACCTTACTCAGATCAGGAAGAACCGTTTCCACATCATCAGCGCAGGCACCTGCAACAAGCTCAGGAACTTCAGGAGGCCGTAGGGGGTGCACAGGCGCATCTGCCAGAAAAGGAGCATCCACCTCAAAGCGAAGATGATGAAGAAACGGGTTCAATCACAGCGCCCACAACGTGCCACCCAACGGACAGCCCTTACCAACACTTGCAGATACATGGGAGAAAAGAAGGAACCTTGTCACCCGCACGTCTAGCTGCGCATGTCATGGCATAGGCCCCGTACAGCATGCGTATATCCAAACGAAATCCGATGGTGTTATAGCACTTGATGCATCCAATCCCAGCTCATGGACGCGAGCGCCGCTTGGGCATTGAAAGCAATGAAGCACGGGAGCCGAGATTCAGAAAGCTCATGTCCACCAGCCATATCGCAATGGTCTTTAGCTCCGCGATGTGCGAAGTGAGCTGCCCACACTGCAAACGTCCAAGCTGAATCGGGTGACATCTGGCCTCAACGATTCGACGAAGGGAGAGGTTAATAATACCGGCCATGGCCTTCGCATCCGTCTTCTTCAATACCAGCGGTTTAAGCGCATCAGGAGACCGAACCAAGTCCACAGCATCTTCAAGCTGCTCACCTAGGGGGATGAAGCAGAGTAGGTGGTGGTTGAAGCCTGCGGGCAATCCAAGTCCACTCAGCGTTTCCAACACAATAAATTATAACGCCTCAATCGTGTCCTCATGCGCGAGCCAGGCCGCGTAGGAAAGCCTATCAGGACTTGGGGCGCTCGAGCGAACGCGGCGAAAACACCATATCATCGTCTCCTTAATAGGGGAAGGCAACACCGCCTCGGGATTGTCAGTTAGATACCGTGGACCCTTATCACCATGTGGACTAGGTTTAACTCGGAAAACTTCTGCCCAATGCGCCTGAAGAGCCTGTGCCATACCCTCATGAGAGCGAGCGACTCCGCCAGCAGGTATACAGCGAGTGGCAAATCTGTGCGAAGGCGACGAATGAAACTGGCTTGGCTTAGCTAGTCCTACAGACCTCAGCAGCCATAGTTGCATCTTCCGGGCACCGATGACCAGGACTTTGAAGAGAAACATGCGATGATACGTAGCTGGGCGCTGGGCCGACCACTCTCCGCCAACACGCTCAACTTCGATAGGTACTTCATCCAGCCCGCTAGCGGAGACCGTGGTAGCTCGCACAGCCACCAGTGTGGCGCATGTGCCGTAGGAGTTCTCCGCAGCGGACGCCACAGACCAGTTCAGCAACGAGGCGGACAACGAGGATGCCGAAAGACAGACACCATACACCCCATCATCAGGTCTCGATAATACATCAATGCTGCACATAGGGCCAGTGGCATCACGATCGACGTGAAGAACATCATTGGAATCACGAGCAACAGGAAGAACATCCTTGGGGTCTACAAGACTCAGAAGCAGCATGTTGAACCTCGCAAGGGTCGGGGTAACAAGCCGTGCTCTTTTCGTCGCGGCGCCACGACTTCTTAACGACGTCCGCTGTCTGGAAGTGTGCAGGGGGGCGAGAAGGGTGGAGGGGGGCGGGATTGAATCGGGCACTGTCTGAACTGAACCGATTCGCAAAATCGGATCGGGTCGGGAACGGATCGGATCGCGCCGGCATCGGCGCGTAACTGGATTTGGATCCGTCTGGGATCGAGGATCGGCCTCGGCCCTGCTGGCTGGAGAGGGAGCTGGTTCGAGTCGGATTGGCTCGGGTCGAAATAATTCGAAGATCGGATGGGATCGTGAGCAGCCCTGGCAGTCCTGGCAGGGAGAATAGCAGACGACCTTGACGTGCTACAAGCCGCGCCGCACTTAATTTGGCACCGCGCTGGGTGGCCATGCCCTTCAAACTGGAGGGGCACGTGTGACGACCCCCCTTCCCCCAAAAAACTGAGATGCGCACTGGGCTGGCGCTGGCGGGGATGCGCGAAGCGTCCAGAAGTGCTCTTTTACGTTTGAGTCCCACGAATGGTGTTCTGACACGATGCAAGATCGCCGAGTCGCAGTAGTGATTGTGATTCGTGGCGCTGGCATCCCAGGACGGTCGTCTTCCAACGGGGGGGTCTTCCCCTAGTGAAGATGGCCCTTTCTAGGGGCCTATAAAAAGAACCCTGAAGGGAAGGTATATTGCAATATCGTGGATACGTCTTGGGTTTGCTCTGGTCCTCCGCCTCCTCCTCCTCCTCCCCCTCCTCCTTCTTCTCCTCCTCCTCCCCCTCTTCCCCCTGCCCTTGCCGGCCAAGTCGACAGGCGCAACTTCCGCTCCCCCCCCCCCTTCCAAAATTGAGGGCGCGTGGGTCGCCAGCGTCTGCCCCAACACAGGTTCTGCGTCAACTTTGGAGAAGGGGGGGGGGGGGCAAGCCCACCTTTATGCCTCCCTACCAGGCAGTCAGAGGGCCAGCGGGCGTTTCCTTACCAGACAGGTGGCACGCAGTTCCCTGCCAGACAGTCGCGTGCATGTCTTTACAGGGCACGTCGTCGGATAGCCAGCGGACATCGTGGAGAGCAGGCAAGCGTTTCCTTGCCAGAAAGCCGGCGCGCAATTCCCTACCAGACAGCCGCAGGCATTTCCTAACCAGACATTTTTACCAGACAGCCGGCGAGCATTTCTTTACCAGACAACGTCCGTGATGATTACGAGGAGGAGTCAGAGAAGGAGGAGGAAGAGGAGGAGGAGGAGGGAACGAGGAGAAGGAGGAGAAGGGGGAAGAGGGAGAGAGGGGGGAGAGGGGGAAGATGAGGAAGACGACGAGAAGGAGGGAGGAGGGAGGAGGAGGATGAGCAGGAGGATGAATAGGATGATGATGATGATGATGATGATGATGGTGATGATGTAGGTGCTGATGATGTTGATGATGCTGATGCGGACGATGGTTGTCATTACTGTGGTGATGCTGATGATGCTGTTGGTGATCAGGTTTGTGATGGTGATGCTAGTGATGATGATGACGACTTTGATGCTGCTGTTGCTGCTGCTGACGCTCATGCTCATCATGATACCGATGCTGGTTCTGACAAGGTGGAGGAACAAGAGGAGGAGGAGGAGGAGGAGGAGGAGGAGGAGGAGCAGGAGGAGGAGGAGGACGACGATACATATGACGAAAAGGATGAGGAGGGAGGAGGAACAGCCAGGACGAGGAGAGGGGGAGGTGGTAGGAGAAGGATAAGAGGATACAGGGGATGAGGAGACAATCTGCCTTGACGTGACTTCGATCCGAAACGCCCATGATGTATTGGTGCACGGATTGTGCCTACATGGAGGGGGGATGGATGGAAGGATGGAGGCATGGAGGGAGGCTGGCGGAGGAGCCTGGATGGAGGCGGCCTGGATGGAGGGAGGGAAGGGTGAGAGAACAGGGATGCTCGATGGAGGGAGGATGGAGAAAGGCTGATCGGCAGGAGTCTGTATGGAATGAGGTAGGCAGGAAGGAGTCTGGATGGATGCACGTTGGATGGAGGGAGGGGTGGGGGGTGGGAAGAAGAAGGCTTGATGGAGGATGGATCGATGGACTCTTTTTGGAGTGAGGCTGGGTGGAAGAAGGGTGGCAGATAGGAGGACGGATAAAAGGGTGGATGTCTGGACGGGTGGAGGGCGGCTGGAGGGACACTGCATGGGTGGGCGCGGGATGGCCGGATGGAGGGTGGATGGATGAATGCTGGAGGAGGATGGAAGGAGGCTGCATGGCAGGAAGGTGGATGGATGGAGGCTGGAGGAGGGAGGAGGAGGAGGAGGAGGAGGAGGAGGAGGAGGAGGAGGAGGAGGAGGAGGAGGAGGAGGAGGAGGAGGAGGAGGAGGAGGAGGAGGAGGAGGAGGAGGAGGAGGATCGGCAGGGGGGGAGCGGAGGGAGATTGGGCGGAGGTTGAGGGGTAAGACGTATGTGGTGAGCGGTGCGGAGTAATCGCTCGGGTCGGGCCTACTAATTTGTCGCGTTAATTGTGACGCGACTTGTAGTCTAGGAGGTGCCACCGACGAGGGCCAGCAGAGCTGATGCGCCCCTTCCAATAATCTTGTACTCGTGAAGGGGGGAGGGATGCTCCTCTCTTGGGTCGAACGACACGGGGGGATTGCAATTGGGGGTGTTGGCGCATCAGCTCGCGCAGCTGGTTTCCCTGGCGCGGGAGGCGGCCATGCATCGAGGAGGCGGCGGAGTCGAAATCAGCTGCGTGCAATAATTTTCGCACCCCCCTTCCCCAATCCCCCCGATCGCCTGCCTCGAATCTCTCGTGGGTGGGATCCCCAAGGGAGAGGGGAAACCTCCCCGAAACCTCAGGGATATCTCCTTTTAGGTGTCCCAATGCCCCTCGGGGAAAACGGGGGAGTGAGGAGCCCCACCCTTCTGGACTTCCTGGAAGCCCCCAGAAAGCTCCCGAAGACTTCCAGGAAGAAAGCTGGCGAACCCGTGCGAGCCCTCCGAAAACCTCCCTTCCTATTTCCCTCCTTTCCCTACCCCCTCCTCCCTCCTTCCCCGCCCCTCTCACCCAGGGGCAGGGAGGAGGGCGCTCCTCTGCTCAGGCTCCCCGTCCCTGGACGTACTTGAAGATGGAGCTGAGCTCCTGAAGCCAGCGCCAGCGGCGGCGGCGGCGACGACGGCGACGACGACGACGACGACGGCGAAGGGCGACGGCGACGGCGACGGCGACGACGACGGCGACGACAACGGCGACGGCGACGGCGGCGCCGGCGGTGGCGGCGGCGAGGACGGCGGCGAAGGCGACGACAGCTGAGCTCCTGCAGCCTCTGGATCAGGCCCTGCCCGATCTGCTCGCTCCAGCCCTCGACCTGCTTGGCGTCGTACTCGCCGACCTTGCCCAGCACCGATTCTATGCACTGCGGGATGTCGACGTGCACCTGGGGGAGCAGGTGGAGGAGGAGGCGTCGGAGGAGAGAGTGAGTGGACGCCATCACGAAGGGAATCCCAACCGGCTACCTCGCAGACCTGTCTGCCTGCTACCTGCGACCTCTGCGCACGGGGCTGAGCTTCATCAGCCTGAGCTGCATGAGCAGCCAAAGTGGGGCGACCAGGCCTAGCGCAGACGGCTGCCGGGCAGGACTGCCTTGGCTGGCATTCCATCTTCGGAGTTTGATGCTGCACCAGGTGCGGCTACTACAGCAGTGAGGTCGTCAGAAAGAACTTATGGAACAGTGCATACACATGAAACCCAGTATTCAAGTGCGAGCAGTCACCTGTCCGGGGTGCTGACAGGGTCGTGATATACGGTCCGGCACACCGAACGTTCAAGCAGCGTGGCGTTGTTGGGAGCGCAATCGCGCCCGTGGCCTGGCGCGAGCGCGCATGCTGTGGAAGCGTTTCGGTTGATGGTCCTGTTTCAACCCTGAATGCCCCGTTTGGCTTGCAAATGCACGTCGAGGTACATCGCGCAGTGCCGCAAGTTGTGGTACCAATTGCAATTGTCGTTGCTGAGTTCGTTGTCGCGGTAGATTTCGTGGTGCTCGTGTCGTCGATGTGCCGTCAATGTGCTCATCGTGATGTCACATGTCGTGTGGTGCCGTGTCGTCTTTGGAGAAGTCCCCTTTTCAGACTTGGCTACATCGGCTGGGGCTGTGCCGTATGATGGCACGCGCTCCCTGTGATGGAGTAGCCAGTGGTGGCATGGGAGAGGCGTGTCCCCCAAAGTGAGGCAAGGCTTGGCGGCCACTTTTTGGGAAAGTCCAAGGCTGTCTGTCCCAAAAAATGGTTGCCCAGGCGCTCTCAGGCAAAGGGCGTTGTAAACCTGTGCTGGGCGGCGACGCGGGCCCTGTTTTTGTGCAGTCGCTGGTAATGCTTCCCAGGCAGAGCCTGCCAACGGCCCGCGCCGATCGGAGGCGCAAACTTTGTGGTGGCATTGCCGGTGGTAGCGGCTCCCAGGCAGGACGTGCCAGGAGCCCGTGCCTGACGACGGCACGGGCCCTGTTGCGGTGCAGCCGCTCCTGCAGCCGCAACGTCACCATCCTGATCATGCAAAGGCCCTGCGTCGTAGCGGCAGCCGGGCGTGGTCGGGCGTCAACTTCGTCTCCGAGGTCGTCAGACTCCAAGACCGGAAACCCCGCCCTGAGGGAGCTCAAGGAGGAGGGGGGTTGTGTATCCGCAGTGTGGCCAGCATTATTGCGCCGAGTGCCGTTCAGTAGCAGCTGCTTCCTCATGTGTGCCCATCGTCGAGTTCGCCGTTGAGATGCGGCCTGCACCTTTCGCCACTGTTCAGGACTGAGGCTGGCATCCCCGCTGGAAAACGGATTGCCAGCACAGGCGTGCGCGGCAACATAATGTTGGTGTCTTTGATGCCATTGCGTATTGACCGTGCAGACCAGATCTCGAAAGTCAGCACCATCGGCAAGGTCAACGGACTCGCCATCAACGTGGAGGAAACGTGCCCCGTGCGTGGTGGTATTGATGAGGGTTGTGGCAAAAGTGAGATACTGCTGCCAAATCGCACGGGCAATGCTGCGCAACGTGAGTCGACGACTGTCCTCAGCCCCTTCTGCACTAGATGTGACAGGGAGACGTTGAAGGCGGTCCCGAACCAAAGCAGCGGCACGCATCATCAGATCCTTCGTGAGCGCCCAACGGTCGTGCGAGCCCATCGCATCCCAGTTCACGCAACTCATGCATTGGCGAAAGACTTCAGGTAATGAAGTGAGCGGAAGACAAATTCTGGGATGCCTCGTTCACGTCGCGCGCAGGACCGTCGAGGACGCAGCATCCGCGACAGGCCAGCGTGGTCACTCAAGCTCCAGTCGGCGAGCCGCGGTGCCTCTTGATGCGCTGTTAGAGCAGTTTCCGTCTCCAAGAGGAAGGCTGGGGAGAGCGAGACGAATGCCCTGTCGAGCGTGCTGCAAGTTTCCGCGTGGCAGCAATTGTGTCGGCAACGTTGAAGTAATCTCCGCCACGCCATGGTCGAACAGAGCTCTCCAAAACGGCTGCTGATGTTGACCACGGTCCTCCACATGTCGACGAGCAGTCGGCCGAAGAAGAGAGTCAGGTGCCACGTCGGAGACATTGAAGTCTCCCAAGGAGAGAAAGAGACGGTGGCGCTCGTCAGCAGCAGTCCATCGCGTGCAAGCGTGCTAACACCGACGGACAAGCTGACGATGATCAGGGGACAAATCATGATTGTGAACGTTGAGAAGACGAGCTTCTTGACCATGTCTGCGAATGTGGAGTCTGAAGACTCGACCGTCAACCAAACGTTTGGGGATAAACGTAGGAACCGACCCAAGCGGTAGCTGATGAAGCTGTTCCTGACTATACTGGGGTACGAGAGTGACAACGCCACCATTCCCAGGGGAATCAGAACAGCTGAAGAATGTCTTGTACTCATAGGAGTACTGCCAGAGAAGGAATTCGATGTCGTGCACAGAGCCATGCACTTCCTGGAGTAATCTGATTGCCCTAGCCATAAAGCAACTTTTCCAATCTCGCCATTTTGGAGCGTCGTGAAGAAAAGCGGTGGCAGCACAGACCGCGTGCATTCCACGGGGTGACCTGCAGATGGTCAGAAGGACGACGAGCCTCCAAAGACGAGATAAGCCAAGGGCGACCCCAGAAGTTAGGACCACGACCAAGTGTTGGAGTCGTAGCCGGCGTAGGCGCGCTAGATGGCGCTGTCGATGGCCTCCTGGTCGATGTTAAGCTGAGCCACCACCGCCTGGTTCCACGGGAGATGGGATGGCTCCGTGGCGCCGCGCACTCCCACCTCCACCACCAGTTGGCCATCGGATTCGGGAGCCTCTCGGCACAGATGGCAGCCAGTCGCTTGAACTGCTGCTCGGGGCGGATCTGCCTGGGGGCCTCGTCAGGACCCACGAAGAGGGGTCCGGTGGAGCCATGGACGAACATTGCCTCGAAGCGGCGCCAACGCCCACCAGGAAGACGCAGAGCCTTAGCAAGTTCCAACGTTGTGGAGACACTGGCGGGCCCGCCCGAGACCTCCAGAACGAAACGGCGGGAGGGGCCATCGCCGTGGATGATGATGTCGTCGCGGCTGACGCCAGAGGCCGAGATCCAATCATCAAGCGAACGTGAGACCAGGTCGGGGGCGACGTTGTACCTGGCGTTGATGGTGAAAACGTTCGGGTGGGCGTCGCGGTCGAAGTCGGCAAGACTGGACAGATGGATAGCAAATGCCTGCTGTTCTCCCAAAGCCAGCCGCTCCTTGAGCCGATTGACGGAAGCTCGAAGCTCACGTGTTTCATTGTCAAGCCGCTGCTGCTGCTGCTGGAATGCACGAGTGTCGCCATCGTGGCCGTCGTGACCACCGTCTACACCTGCGCTGCGATGGTGGAGGTGTGGGCCTGGATCTCGTTGGCGACCAGCCGCGAGATATTTTGGAAATTGGGGCCCGGTGAGGGGGCTCCACCAGCGGCGCCATGGGCCTGAGCAGGGCGCATCTGCGCGGGGCCAGCAACCGAGCGAGGAGGCGCAAGAGCAGGTGGAGCGCCAAAACCAGCGGCAGACGCAGCCCATGGGTCGGACCCACGCGGCGTCGACAACTGCTGTGTATGGCGACTGCCTCCTGCGACGGGAACGTCTGCATAGCGTCAAGGGCCTCCACCTCCGCTGTGGACAGAGGACGGGGCGGGCGTCAGCAGCGGAGGATCCGCCAGCAAACCCGCTGCCCTGTGCAGGGTCACGGGCGCCCTGGTAGGTCGCAAGTGGGTCGCGGGGTGGGTCGCGGGTGGGTCGCGGGTTGGGTCGCGGGTGGGTCGCGGGGTGGGTCGCGGGTGGGTCGCGGGGTGGGTCGCGGTGTGGGTCGCGGCGTTGGGTCGCGGGTGGGTCGCGGGTGGGACGACGACAACAAACAACACCAACAACAACAACAACAGCGACAACAACGCAACAATCATAATCCTCACCACGGATCCCCACTTCAGCCACGCACCGAGGGACAATGAATGACCGTTCGGCCCCCTCGCTCTGATGTATGCATGTATTAATGTATGTATGTATGCATGTCTTTATGCCGTACTAATCCAGAGATCCAAGAGGCTTGCATAGTGCTTTTCGGAAGCAGTTTTGACGCCTCTTGGGTGCTGTCTTGGCGTCTCTTGGGGTCTTTTTGGTGCCTCTTGGGGAGCTGGGGCCTGTTGGAGGCCTCTGTGGGGGTCCTTGATGCCTCTCGGGGGCCGTTTTGGGGCCGGGCCGTCTTGGGCGCATCTTGGGCTGTCTTGGTTGGGGCCCTCTTGGGCCGTCGTGGGGGCCTCTTGAGTGCCTCTTGGGCCGTCTTGGGGCGATCTGGGGGCCGTCTTGGGGCCCTCTTGGGCCGTCGTGGGGCCTCTTGCGTGCCTCTTGGGCCGTCTTGGGGCGGTCTGGGGGGCATTCTGGGCCGTCTTGGAGCGTTGGGCAGGCGAGAAGTTGTTGATGCTGAAAGTGTACATCTGATACAAGGAATTCGCCGATTTGGGCCTCTTGAGACTCCCTGGGGAAACCTCTTGAGGTGTCTTGGGGGCGTTGGCGTCTCTTGGGGTCTCTGGTGCCTCTTGGGGGCGTTGGTGTCTCTTGGGGCGTTGGTGTCTCTGGGACCTGTTGGAGGCCTCTGTGGGGGTCTTTGGTGCCTCTCGGGGGCCGTTGCGGGGCCGTCTTGGGCGCCTCTTGGGCCGTCTTGGGGCCCTCTTGGGCCGTCGTGGGGGCCTCTTGCGTGCCTCTTGGGCCGTCTTGGGGCGATCTGGGGGGCGTCTTGGAGCGTCGGGAAGGCGAGAAATTGTTGATGCTGAAAATGTACGTTTTGCTAAAAAGGAATCTGGTGATGTTGGCCTCTTGGGACTGCCTTGGGAGGCCTCTTGGGGTGCCTTGGGGCGACAAGGGGGCCTCTGGGACGGTCTTGGGGCCATCGTGGGCGTCTTGTAGCCCTCTTGGCCCAGCATGGAGCCCTCTGGAAGCCATCAGGAGCCGTCTTGGGCCCTCCAGGAGCGCTCGGGACCCAGCGGCCCCCAGCGGGACGCAGGTCTAGCTGGATCTTTTTTCTATGAATATAGGTACTCATTGTTTTAGTGCAGCTATATATGGATAGAGAGAGAGAAAAAACAAGAGATATAGAGAGAGGGAGATAGGGAGAGAGAGAGAGAGAGAGAGAGAGGTTCGACGAGTCCACAAGCCCCAAGGGGCGTGCCCATCGGATGGGATCCTTTCCATCACCCTGGCACGGGACGACATCCTGCCAGGGGCCAGCGACAAGGCAATTCCCTCGGAAAACAGCTCGCCTTCACCGTCCTCGGGCGTGACATCCATAAGATGACAGACTGGGAGTCGGGCGCTGGGGTCCCGTGCCTCGCCCGCGTTCAAGCCGAAAGCCTGGGGACAATCCACCAGGCACAGGTCGGGGCCCAAGCACCTTCCACTACGAACCTGCCACCAGACGGCCCAGCCTGAACGCACAGCTGGGAAGAACCGGCCGAGAGACACTCGCGGAGTTTTTCTTTCCCGCCCCCACCAGAGCATGGTCGGTGCCTTTGCAGGTGCTTTGAAGGCCGCGGGCTTTCGGAACGCAGACCAGTGTCTCCTCCACACGTCGACCAGAAAAACGAGACTGGGAGCTCCATCGTACCAACCTGGGAATTCGAGGAGGCAATATCCGCCCGCTCTCCATGGTGCTGGTCCTGGAAGGCCTCCCCCCCCTCTGGGCGACACCGACTCGGCAGCAGCAGTCGCAACGGCAGCACGACGGGGCAAGTTCTTCCTCCTCTCGTTGTGTCGCCTGGTTGACCGCACGGACCATGGCGGCTGCACCTTGCCTGGTCAGCCCATAAGCTGAAGGATTGCCAGGGATCTAGACTAGAAAGGAGGAGATGGTGGTGGTGGTGGTGATGGTGAAGGAGGTGAAGGAGGATGGATGGGCTGGAGGGCCTGGGGTGTTTCAGGGCATGTTTCAGCAGGGTTAAAGGGCTTCTAAGGCTTTCCAGGGGGTTTGTACTTACGCAAGGTTTGGGGCGTGGATGGAGGGAGACTGCGAGCAGAAAGTCTGACTCGGATGAGCAGGCCCGAATGCGTTCCGCAATGCGCCCGCAGCTAAAGCCGAGGCCAAAGCTGATCTGCACAGAGGAAAAAATGGAGCACCCTGCAAGCTCGGTTAGAAACCCACCGTTAAAGGTGCTGCAGCCTCCACTGTCGAGGAGGCGGAAAATGACGAATGGAGGAGGAAATGACGAGAAACAGGCACGGGAGGCGGAGGAGGTGGCACAAGACGTCGGCTTGGCCCGCACTGGGTACGGCAACCATCGGTATGATGCCCAGCAACAGATGTAATCCAAAATCGACAGCGGCAGCTGTTGGGCGGGCTACTTCCTGTCTCAAGCAGGCAACGCCTGCGGCGACACCGATAGCGAGTCCTGCTCAACATCGGTATGATGCCCAGCAACAGATGTAATCCAACATCGACAGCGGCCGCTGTTGGGCGGGCTACTTCCTGTCTCAAGCAGGCGACGCCCGCGGCGACACCGATATCGAGTCCTGCTCAACATGGGCAGGGACTGCAGTTGTTCTCTGTCCCTACTATTGTCATACTTTTTTTCGATCGTCCCGATCAGCGTGCACCTGCTAGTTTTATTTGGTGAATAACGTCGGCCCCTGGGGATCTCGAGCATTTCCCTGGGTTCGGTTTTTCATCCCGAATGCGTTTTGGACGGTCCTGGGGCCGGGGAGCAGCCTCCAAAGGCGGACATCGACGAAAAGCCGACCGTCGCGACCTTTTCGCGTGGCTCAGATCTGAAGGGAGGAGGAGGAGGAGGAGGAGGA